AGGATATGATCGTTATTACAGGAGCGGCCGGGTTTATCGGTAGCTTTCTCGTCGGTTACCTCAACCGGCAAGGCTTTACAAATCTTGTACTGGTAGATGATTTTGATGTGCCATCCAAACAAATGAACCTCACCGGAAAGGATTTTGCCATGCAGATCCACCGGGAGAAATTCTTTGAATGGTGCCATGCAAATCCAGGTATTATCAAGCATATCTTCCACCTTGGTGCGCGTACCGACACCACCGAGATGGACTATGAAGTGCATAAAAAGTGGAACCTGGATTATTCAAAAGAAGTCTGGAAGATTTGCGTATCCCAGGGTATTCCGCTGGTTTATGCATCTTCTGCGGCTACTTATGGCAATGGGGAACATGGTTATAATGACGATCATACGGTGGTGGATCAGCTGACGCCACTTAACCCTTATGGCTTGTCTAAACAAGAATTTGATCAATGGGCCTTACAGCAGGCAAGCGCTCCTCCTTTCTGGGCAGGGGTGAAGTTTTTTAATGTCTATGGTCCGAATGAATATCATAAAGGCCGCATGGCTTCGGTGATCTTTCATTCATTCTATCAGGTAAGGGACAAAGGCAGTGTAAGGCTTTTCCGCTCACATAACCCCGCCTATACTGATGGTGGCCAGATGCGTGACTTTGTTTACGTGAAAGACGTAGTAAGCATGTGTACCTGGCTGATGACCCATCAGCCGGAAAGCGGGCTGTATAATATCGGTTCCGGCCAGGCCAGGACCTTTATTGATCTGGTCAATGCCATCTTTGATACGCTGAACATTAATCCGCAAATAGACTTCATCGACACACCGGAAGATATTCGCGATAAATACCAGTATTTCACGGAAGCTAACATGGCTAAAATACGCCATGCCGGTTATGACTTACCCTCTTATTCGCTGGAAGCCGGCGTGCGTGATTATATCACAGAGTATTTGCAAGACAGCCGTTACTACTAAATAGCTTTTTATACCAGGTTAATGCTGCCGCTGTCTATGAACAACGGCAGCATTTTTAGTTTCAGGGCTTTCCCTTATAATGCTTAGCAATGTATTGCCGGGCTTCTTCCCGGGTGAACGCTGAAAAATTACGATACCTGTCGT